ATAATAAATAAACTTCTAATATCTTGACAATTAGGCCTTTAGAATTATTTCATATGGATTTAATGGGACTGTCCAGGACTGAGAACCTTGGAAGTAAGCACTATACTTTGGTTATGGAAAATGATTTCTCTAGATACACATGGATTGAGTTGTTGAGAGAAAAATTTAATGTATTTAGCCTCCTTAAATTCTTATGCAAAAGACTTCGAAATGAGAAAATTTTTCACATTAACTAGAATTTGAAGTGATCATAGAAAAGAGTTTGAAAACCCTAACCTTAAGAACTCATGCTTGGAGGAAGGAAACTAATATGAGTTCTCTTAACCAATCACTCCACAACAAAATGGAGTAGTTGAGAGAAAAAATCGTCTGCTTCAAGAAATGATAATTAAGAATAAGACCAGTGCTCAAAGTACCATAACCAGGAATAAGGCTAGATTAGTTGCCCAGGGATATACTCGAGTTGAAGGTGTTGACTTTGATGAGATATTTGCCATGTTACGTGTCTTGAGTCCATTAGAATTCTTCTTACTATTGCTTGTACTTTAGAATTCAAGCTCTATCAAATAAATATCAAAAGTGCCTTTTTGAATAGAATACTTCAAGAAAAAGCTTATTTTGAACAACCAAAAAGATTCATTGACCATAAGTTTCCACATTATGTCTACGAACTAAATAAAGCTTTATATGATCTTAAACAAACTCCTACAACTTGGTATGATAAACTCACTGCATACCTAGTGTAACGTAGTTTCTCCGAAGGAGGTGCAGACAGAACTTTATTCATAAGACATATTAAAGGAACCATCCTTATAGCTGAAATTTATGTCAACAATATTATCATTGGTCCTCTCATTGACTCTCTTGTTCATGAATTTGTTGAATGCATGCAACAAGAATTTGAGATGAGCATGGTTGAAAAATTAAGTTACTTTCTTGGTTTCCAAGTAAACGAAATGAATGGTGGGTTTTTTATCTCTCAATCAAAGTACGCTAAAGACCTTGTCAAGAGATTTAGGGAAGATAGCAAAAAAGGCACTAGAATACCCATAAGAACGAGTGTTAAGTTAGGTCATGATCCTAGAGGAAATAGTCTTCATCGGACACTATGCAGGAGTATGATGGGTATTTTACTATATCTTAAAGCTAGTAGACCTGACATAGCATTTAGCGTTGGGGTTTGCGCTAGATTTTAAGCTTATCCTAACGAATCCCACTTAAGCACAGTCAGCCGCATCATCTGATATGTAAATGGCACCTTAGATCATGGAATCTTGTACTTTAGAGACTCTAATCTTGATCTTGTCAGCTATTTCGATGCCAATTGGGCAGGAAATGCTAATAATAGAAAGAGCGCTTCGAGAGGCTGTTTCTTTGTTGGTTCTAATCTAGTAGCTTGGATGAGTTAAAAACAAAATTTTATCTCATTATCCATAGCCGAGATCGAATACATAGCCACTGAAAGTTGTTGCACTCAACTGCTTTGGATGAAGTAAATGTTGAGTAATTATGAGATAAAGAAGGGTACTATGATTGTGTTCTGGGGTAACACAAGTGCTATATATATTTTCAAAAATCATGTTCAACATTCTCTGACCAAACATATAGATATTAGGCATCACTTCATCTGAGAGCTAGTAGAGACCCTTGTTGTATCTCTTGAGCACATCTCTACAGAACACCAAATAGCTAACTTGTTTACTAAGCCCCTAGATGATTTGAGGTTTGAGAATCTTAGGAAAGCTATTGGTGTTTCTTTGATTAGGTACTTAGGTGCTTGCATGTACAATTCATGCTATTCTTCCGTTCTTGCATACATTGCATTTTATGCATATTCACTTTTGTTTGTTTCTTCAAAAAAATTAAAAATTAAAAATGGAGGAACACTATAGTATCGTATTTGATTACTTGAATTTGCATTTTTGATCGAGTATGCATGCAACGGATGAATAGTTACGTAATTTCCATTACTTTGTTTAGCTTCATATGGAGTACTTGGTATAGATCTCTTCATGTACCATTTGCACAACACACACTATGACATTATAAATTAGTCCTGACCGCATGTTTGAGATTTGGGATAGCCGTCATCTGTTGATGAGGTGACCATTAATATGAATTGATCCATAACTAGTTTGAGCTACACCTCTAATATCCCCTTGACAGAAAAGCTATTGTATCAAAACTTGAAATTTATTACGAAATGAGCTTTATCTTATACTCTTTTTCGGAGCCTATTTGACTCAAGCAATTAAACTTGAGGGGTTTCTCATAACTTGGTGCCCTATGGTCAACTGTCTTGAAGTCACCGACCTAAAGCTTGTCACGGAGTCATTTTAGTCGCTTAATGGAGATAGAAATGCACATAAGAAAAGATAAAATATAATAAAAGATTGTGCTTACTAACAGTGGGAGAAAGAAATTTATACACTGAACAATCAACTTGAGTTTTTTTAGGACCTAGTAATGTTGGATTTGACTTTCATTAGTAGAGAAATACTCATTTAGCAAGGATTTTAGCGTGTCCTTTCTCACAAATTTAGAGTTTGGAATCTTGCTCACGAGGAATTAGTGGAACTTTTCATGCATGGATCACATAAACAATTTACTCTATATAAACTTGATTTGAGTATGTGGAAAAGTTTTCCTATTCATTGATTATGTCTTGCTTGCTATCATTTGCATTTTTAAGTAATCATACATGTTGGATCATGACAATCAAATTGGTGCTATATTTCAAAATTTTAAAAAAATTGGTACCATTTTTGTTAAAATGTTTTCGCCCGCTTGTAAGCGTTAAAAGCAGAGGCTCTGTTGCTACTCTAGCACTGGCCTCTCACTCAAGCGACAAGCCCTTTATTCAAGGGCACAAAACTCAGTTTCTTCTCGAATTTCTCTCATTTTTCTTCAAACACCTATCTCACCCACGTATTTGCACCTTCCATTGCATGAATTTTTTCATCTTAGAGGCTCCTAACATCATCTACTTCCCCATCTCATTGAATTAGAGGTAAGAAATTAATTACCCGTAGGTTTTGCCTTTTTCGATTTTTTTGGTGGGTTTTTGATTGTTTTGTGTTTCTGACATAAATTCATTTGTTGCATCACAAATTACCAAAAAATTTCGAATTTGAAGCATTCACTCGCGTTTTAGGGTTCTCTAACTTTCTTCGTTTGGGATTTTCTTATTTTTGCACTCCTTTTGGATGGTATATGAAATAGGTATAGTGCCTCGAGATGAGGTTGTTGAGGCTTTGGATGACTTGAATTTTGGTTGGAATGTCATGCTCTCCACACGCACACCACATGTTTAACGTATTGTCTCATCCACCGAGTTGTTCAATTAAAGATTTAGTGGGTGTTTAAGCCACATTATTTTGATAATAATACATTCTTAAATAGTGTATTGATGAAAAATGTGTAATTAAAAAATAAGGAAAAAAATTTTATCTGCTTGTAATATTATTTTATTAAAAAATGTGTGGTTAAAATGATGTCAAATCACTGTTTAAGAATGTATTTTTTTAAAATAATGTGGCTCAAACAGACCATTATTATAGTTCTAATATATTTTTGACGTATAGAAAATGTATAGATGGGGTGGAGTCGAGATTAATTAGTCGGGGGCTTGAGATTGTTTTATTAATTATTCATATTAGACATGTCTCAATTGATACCAGACAGAACTTTATTCAACTTGAAGTTCACATTCACTGGAACGAAATTGAATAATTAAACATAGTTTAAATAGTCACCTTTAACTAGTTATTTTAAGTTCACTGTTTCATGCTTAACGATTTTTCAGTAAATAAATTTAAGCCACATAACTGGTCAAAACCCAAAAACAAGTCAAAAGAGATGAAAATCACGAATTAAATTTTTTAAATCGATTTGGCACAATCATTTTAATTCACTATTGCAACCTCGTCGTTTAGATTGTAAATTGAAAGGTGCAATAAGATGTAAACCGTGAGCACTTCAGAATGGTATAAAAAACCTTCCTAACATTCAAGAATTGTAAATCGCAATTGACATGTAAATTGATTTTATCCTCCCCAACAAGAAGCTCAAGACACCAAATCTGAACTCAACCTAGATCGAAATGTTTGTCCTGATGTTCCCCGTCCGATTTCTAGGTTTGAGTGAGTGAAATGGAAAAATAGAACATTCGATACCATATTAGTTACAGATGATTGATATGCTCTTGGTACATTGAAAACATCTTGACGTAAAGAGCATGTTGAAAACATCTCGATGTAAATAAAACAAGTTCTTCGCAGAATGCTACGGCAAAGCTCAAAATGTGAGAGAAGCCGGCCTTGAACAGAGTAACATAGAATCGAGGAAATTGGAGAGGAGCCTTTCAAAACGATGCATCACTTAAAAGTTGAACCGCAACACTTACCTCCCAAGACATACCAATGCCAACATTATCTGCTCTAAATGGGTATTTTGCACGAAGCTCAACGAAAATGGCAGCATCTATCATTTCATGGCACCCTTTGCTACTAAAGGTTACAGACTCGATGTCTTGATTAAAGGTCCATTTGGCATTGTTTTCACTTTTGCTTCCCGGAAAAACTCTTAATTTTTGTTAAAAAAAACTAATTTTAAGAAGAAAAAAAAATTACCCTAAATATTCTTTTAAAGGAAGCAACATTGAACCATCTTCCTCTAAAAATCTTATAACTAAAAGAAACACTTCGATCAAATTAAATAAGCAGGTCCAAAGCAACTTTTAATCTCAAAAGCTCATTTTTACTTTCCTTAAACCATGTCAAACGAACCCTAATACCTATTCTTGAAGCCACATCGTATATATGCATCTGCATGACCTCACGTCACCAAGGAACCAGTCAAGGCTGACCATCCACCTGGTTATAGTGAAAAACGATGACCCCGTTCAACCTAAAACAGGAGGGTTTTCTGAAATTGTTCAAGAAATGGTTTGAAGTACAATATGAAAGAACGGATAGACAAGTCACAATTCATCAGAACAATTTAATTAAAATTCAAAACATGCCCTTTCATTCAAATAGTATAATTATTTGAACCGATAATATACTTTTCCTCGAGATCATATCAATTGAAGCAAAAAGTAAATTTAGTATTCAAAGCATACTAAAACTTGAGTTTGAGTCAATCCAATTCTCCCTACAACGCAAGCAAAAAGATTCTAAAAGCACATGCAAACAATCAAAGCATGCATCTCAACTTGGGAAATAAAGAAACTTGTCACTGACTATACAGACAATGAGAGTCCTTCAATATCCGTCATTCGCATCATTACCAAATCCACCACGGAAACCTCCTCCAGGATTACCACCGAAGTTATTGCGAGGTTGTCTCTCATTGGCGTGACTAACTCGGATATTCCTTCCATTCAGTTCCTGCAGTGAGGAAAGGGTAAAGTTACACATAAAACCACGAGAGAGAGAGAGAGAGAGAGAGATTCATCTCACCTGTCCATCCATGGCCGATAGTGCTGAATTAGCACATTCTTCAGTTGAGTAGTTCACGAACCCAAATCCTCTTGACCTTCCAGTGTCTCGATCAGTAATGACTCTAGCTGTTAAACAAAAGGTACAAAGTTTTGAGGACACCAATTATCATATCCAAGTGTATGACTAATTCTAACATAGAAATGATCCACCAACATACCTTTATATGGAAAGGAGGAGGATGAAATGCAATAAATTACCTATGGTGATGCTATAGAGTAACCCAAAAATCCAATTATCAGGCAGTCAAGTTTCTCGTTAACTTGTTGAGAGTGCCATAAAACAAAACAACAAACCCCTGTTATTTCGTATGAATTTGGAATATAAATTGAGAAGACAAGTCTCGAAGATGATTATTCAATATTTAATAATTAGATGGTATTTTTAAAATTCTATCAAAACCCTGATGAGATACTTGCCCTATGGTGTCCCAGGATTGTCAACGTCCGTTTATAGTTCTAGAAAGAAAAGAAATCAAGGTATTAAACATAAACATCAACATAAAACTGGGAAAACTAATATTTTTCCATCAGTAAGCTATAAAATCAAATCTTAAATGCTTTCATGAACAAAAACAAGTAAAGGATACTCTTCAGATAAGAGGCACCCAAAGGAATCAACGTGAATAACATACAAATGCCAAACAGGACCTCTATTCATATGAACTTAGTATGTGAAATGCTACGTACAAATCAGCATCAATTGACAAATATCTAAATTAATTTCCACTAGGCCAAAACCAACACCATTTTCATCTCAATGTCAAATTGCAAGAAATGACACATAACTCACCTTCAACAACATCACCAAAGCTAGAAAATGCATCCCTAAGGGATTGGTCATCAGTTCCATATGAAAGCCCTATCAAAAGAAAAGGTATAGCATTTATCACAGCACAATACAAATCTGTTGCAGAATACTGATAAATCACTCGAAAAAGGTACTTGAGGCACATACCACCAATAAAAAGCTTTGTAGACATGCAGCGAATGGCATTAATCAATGGCACCTGCCCATGCAATGTACTGTTCGAAGAGATGCTCTGCCTCAACAAGGTTCCAACTTTGTTGTAGAATGCCATTTGCACAATAAACTGCAAGAATAAATCAAGAAGTCCAAGCATCTAAATCAGTTTGAAAGAAAAAGAAATAGCAAAGATCTAGCTGGGCAGAGAAAACAGTAATGTATCAACAACCCTCCCAATCCATATAATCTTATGATGAGTAGATGGTCCCAACAATAATAACAATGGTGTCCAAATAGAAAATGCTAAGTTCATAGGTGAATGAACAAGATCAAAATGTATAAAAATGTTACCTTAAGTTATTTTGATTCCTGTTTCCGTCTATAATATCATGTGATAACGTGCCTAAAATGATATACAACAAATGGTAACCATATATCTCGCACAACAAATGGTGAATTCACTGGTTAAACAAATTTATTAATAAGCTTTCACCATAGTCAAATCAAGAAAGCTATGCTGAAATCAAGAAAGCTATCATCAAAATCATCAAGCAACATACAAAATAATCTTCTTCACAAAATCACTAAACCTAAAAAACACTACACAACTTTCAAATTGGCAGAACAAGCACCAGAGCTAGTGCATACAGACAACAAAACACGGTGAAACATAAAAATTCGAAAAAATAATAATTTATTTTTCTACATCAAAACATAGAAATATAAAGATAACTCAAATAATATCTTGGAAGGTGCAAAATAATAAGATGCTTTAAACCCTCATATTTAAATCAATTTCTAATGAAACTAAAAAGATTACAAGAAAAGACTCCTGATAAAAAACATAAATACTGAAATAGTGGTACAAAAACACAATTGCAGGACAAAAAAAAAAAAAAAGGAACAACGAAGAAATTAACTCAGAATAAAAACCAAAGAAACATATACATACAGAAAAAATACAAGTAGAGAAACCAACAATCATACAGGTCACTAATAGAGCTCAGATTTATGGAGTTTTAAGGAAAAAGAAGAACCTGATAAAAGAGAAGGGTTTATGGAGAGCGGCTAGGGCTTATGCCACTCTTGTTGAGTTTGCAGATTTGCAGGTACACTGAATCGAGTAAAAATCTGTTTTGACATTTTATAGTGGGTCAATTTTACAAGTGGGTACTGAACTTTGAACTTAGTGTCTTCTTGGCTATTGAACTTTAATTTGTTTCAAACTCATTACTGAATTAATATTTCATTTAAATCATTGAAGTAATTTGGCGTCCATTTTCTAATTAAACATTCAGCGTGAATGTGTCTTAAGTCATATGAGTTTTTCGTGTTGTTTTTTCTCCATATGTTTTATATTATTTTCGAGCTTCTTAGAATGAGGGTTTTGCATGTTGATTAAGTAATTGATCTAAATTCCCAATAACAACATATCGGCGCGCAAGGTAATTAGTTATTGATAGAAAAAAGCTTGAACCGAAGCCTTTACTTTGCTACCAATCTCGTACTCATTTTTTTCATGTTTCTTTTTACGTTTCCATACTTCTTTCTTTATTCAAGATTTTCATTGATTGTGTTCTAAAAAATGTAAAGCGTGACTAAGCGCGACGCCGAAACTTCAAGCATTACGAGCTTATGAGTAAAAAAAAGGTTTTCTTATTTATAATATTATTTTAAATTTTTAATCATTTTAAAAATTATTTAATAATTAAAATAATATATATTAAACATCTAAAATTATAAAATATAATATTTACTTAATAGCTCCTACCATTAGTCAATTATACAATTTTCAAATTTTTGAAATGCAAAACTTAGATTATTTTTCATAGTTATAATTTTCAACTATACTTATCCTACTTAATAGATTTATCAGAATTTCATACATGTTTTTAGAATTTGTAATAAAAGGCCTGTTCGAGAGTGATTTTGAGAAATGGTTTTTAAACCACATATTAATGCTCGTTTAAACCCCATTTTTTGACTAAGAATGTATTTTAGAATCGTAGATTGATGAAAATTGTGATTAAAAAAATAATAAAAGGTTTTGTGTTTGCATTTAATATTATTTTATTAAAGAATATGTGGTTGAAAAGAATAGAAAAAATTGTATTCTGGAAATAAAAAGGATCAAATAAAGGCTTAATCTAATTTCTTCCAACTTTATTCTTTTGACTGTAACATATATGCCTAATATTGTCTTTCCTAAATAATTTTCTAAATAAACCCACAATTCTTTTATAATGATTTGTATAGATACTCCAATCACAAATTTTTTCCATTTAACTATCATACAAGGTCTATCTTAAGGTTTGCGAGGAAAAGGTACCTATCCTCCGATGTTATATTTTTTCCCATTCATAGCTAATTATTGACGAAATGAGCATATTTCTACTCATAATTGTGCAATTGTTACTTTTATATGTTGAAAATCACCCATTGGAAGAGAACAAGCGAGGAAAAAAAAAAGTGAGAGAGAGGGGGGATTGAAAATGAAGTTGGGGACTAAAGTGCATAAGGATCGAAAGTTGAGGAATCTTACTACAATTTATGAAAGATGTGATTGAAATGAATGTCAAAATTTGAGAACTAAATTTTACAAGACAAAGTTGAAGAAACTGATGTGCAATTAAACCAAGGGGTTAATTGCAAATTTGGAACCAAAGGAAAGCCAGGCGCCTGCAACTAAAACTGGGGCACACACGATCGGCGCCCAAATTAAACCCCAAGAGCAAAATCTTTAGAGCCTGTTTGGGAATGATTTTTTCCTCCAAAAAATTGATTTTTTGACCGTTACTTCACTATTACAGTCATCATATTTGATTTCTTCTCTTATAAATAGATCCCACCTTTTTTCTAACGGTCAAAAATTCAATTCTCAAAATTACTCTCAAACAGGCTCTTAACGTCGCACCAGAATACACTTTGCCAACGCCATTCATTTTCGACAAGCACTATCTTATTTTTTTAAGAAAATTCAGTAGCTCTTTTGTAATTTTTGGGGGACATCTTTTAGGGCATTTAAAAGGCAAAATTCGTCACCTGAGCCCCATTCTCTTTCCATCATTCATTCTTCTCTTTTTCTTATCATTTTATGTACATGTTTTCGGGGAGAAAAGACCAAGAACAAGGGCACAAATGAAGAGTAAAACTTAAAGGAAGTAAAGAAATTTTGAGGAAACTCAAGATTATGCGGCGGCAATCTTAAAAAATCCAACCAAAAAGGGTTTTATTTTTAATATTGTATTTACTTTATTATTTTCTCCTATTTGTGATGTATTGTATAAATATTCTCATTTGTGTATCATATATATAAAATAGGCTAAGTTCTTGATATTAGGACGATTGATTTAGCTTAATCTAACTTTATTAATTCTAATCCTTGCTCTTTGATGTTAAAATGTTTATTTTCATATGTATTTACTACTGCTTTTCAAGCTACTCATTTATTTGACCAATAATTTGTTTTCAAGTGATTTGGTACATTTTAAATATCCAAGGTTCTTGTAACGGACACAAATATACACATAGTACTAAATGATTCATTGAGGATGAATAAAAATTAGTTCAAATAGGCATTTAAAGATTCATTATTTTAGTTTAGGGCCTTAGTTTTCTATATTTTTTCACAGAGATTTAATGTTATTGTTTGAATTTTAATCGATATACAAATATATTAAGTTAAACCAATCAATTAGGGCTAATTTTACTCGGGATAGATAATTAGTTAAAATTGAAAAATCGAGTCTAACATACAAAATGATTAATTTGCTAATTTGCTTGTGGATAAATTAATTAGGCTACAGTTAAGAGATATCATGAATCTCAACTACGTTATCCTCGGAAATTCCCACAGTTTACATTTTGTTCATTTTGTAAAGTTTTCAATTATTTTTCTCATTTTCAAAATCAAAATCCAGAAATTATGTGCGTTGCTTTGTTAGAATTAAATTAAGTATAGTGTAATTACGAGTAAACACTCCTTGAGAAATCAACTTGATTTTATCGTCCACTTTATTATTTGAACAGGATCGGTGCACTTTGGCTCTAAAAATTTTCTGAGTGGTCCTTTTACTCCTATTATTATTAATCATAAAAGAGTATATTGAAAATTTTTATTAACAATTTTTTATAAGATTCCTTTTATATATAACCTAAAGATACAAATTGATTTTTGTGTGTACATGAAACACATATTTTTCAATAATGTTGATATTTTAATGATTTGCTAGAGATATTTCATTTTTTGTATATGTTTAGGGCTTTTACTAGTTTTAGTTTATTCTGTATAAAAGTTTTATTTGTTCTTCAACATCTATTAAAAACTCTGATCTTGTTTCTAATTTCATTTTTTTTTTTCACTTTTTGATCTTATTAAAGGATTACCTAATATTCTACTACTATAAGCTACAATTTGCTTTCCCCTGTCAATCATGTATGAATCCACTTAGGCCCTGTTTGATAGTAACAATTTTTCATGGAACTAGGAAATGCAATTCCATTTTCCATTTTTTTGGCTATTTGATAGCTTTTATATTTTTTTTCCCCTTTTCCACCGAATTCGTTTTATTGGTTTTCTTGGAAATGAGAAATTTTTTTGGTTTTCAAAGATGGTGGGAATTGATTATCTAGGCTACTTTTGGGGGGGCGAGGGGGGGGGGGCAATGGAAACAAATTATATCCCTAATTGTAAAAAATGTTTTTTTTTAATTAACACTTTTCATATAAAATAAAGTCAAACGAACACCAAAAAATAGATAATTTCTTCGCTTTTTTTGCAATGGAAACAAATTATATCCTCAATATCAGTAAATTTTATCTCCTTAATTGACAGTTTTCATGTAAAAAAAAGCCAAAAGAACAACAAAAAATACTTTTATTTCAAAAAATTTCACGTGAAAAATTGTACCAATCAAACACAACAATTGACAATTCTCAGTAAAACAATTTATAGGTAATTCAATTCCTTGGAATTCGTTTTCTTCCCACCTAAATTTCATCTTTACAATCAAACGGACCCTTAATCTTTTTAAACTTTCTAGATTCTTTAGTTTTTCTGAGTTTAAGTTTTCTAACTTTTTTAGCTCCCGTTTGGCCCCTATTTTTTCAAATTAAAATGGGTGAAATAATATTTTTTGAAAAATGAAGGATTGAAAAGGAAGAAAATATTTTCGATTTACATATAATATTATTTTATAAAGATTGCGTGATTGAAAATAGGAGAGAGAGAAACCAAATTTAATTTAATAGTAGCCAAACGGGGCTTATTAAGATGTCCAAGTCTTAGTTAAGAGAATCTATAGACTTTTCTTTACTACTCTGTTTTCTAACTTGTGTGTGCTTATCTTTTGTAAATTATTACAGTTTTCTTTTAGGGATTTTTCTAAATAATATTTAATATCTATTTCATTTGTATTGCAAAACTTCTTTTTTTAATATTTCACTATTTTGGTTTTTACTATATTTTAAACAAATTTCTAAGATTTTTATACTTCTACTCATATTTTCTAATACATTTTCTACATTTTTATTAGTTGTTGAGATAGTTCTTTTGCGATATTCCTTTGTAGAATTTTGCTGAGCCATTTCCAGTAAATCATCAAGTAAGGTGAAGATCACCTGATCAAAACATTGCAGCCACAAATCATTTGTTATTCGAATCCCATCTGATCCTGTCAATCATTTTTGGATTCTTTCGAGGTTCTACCGTATTCAACAAAATATAATCTAGACCATTTAGTATTTGATTAAGCTTTTGCTTATGGAATACCTCGTGATGGCCCTAGCCTTCGAAAAATAAACTCTACGTATATTCCATCTAAAAATGCAATAGGAGATGTTGTACAGATATCTACATGACTATAAACTTTCTTATAAATTAAATTTACATTTAACTCTATCATACTATTTAACTATTTATCTTCATAATGTAAAAGATGTTTATTTATTTTATTTTATTTTATCAAAGTTACAAATTGAAGAGATTGTGTGTAAACCATCTTTTCTTTTAATATTTTCAAGATGCTCTAGATTTAAATAAGGAAAAATTGCAGCCGAGGTATCAAATCTTTCGTTTATTAGCAGAATTTGCTCAAACCTTTAGTTTGTGCCGGCCACAGTTTC